AATAACCTATAGAATCATTCTATGGCCCCTTTAAGGCTGTAAAGATTGAGCTACAGCCAAACATGTTTATGCTGTCACAGCTCTACACTAACTGAGCATCATCTCTCTATTCGTCCTCCTCACCCGTTCCGCCTTCCAGGATGGCTCTGACGACTGCCTGAACACCATTAGGCTGCATCAGACGCTCTGACAGCAGCTGACCGCAGAGACGCCTCAGCCAAGCCGGAGCAGAACCCCGAGAGGCTCTACTGCTGCCAGGTCCGATGGAGCCCTCAGCTGGATCCGACTGGAAAGAAGACAGGATGGAGAGGTGAAGGATCAGAGAAATCTGCCTCGTTTGACATGAAAGCGTTTGAGTCAGAACAAAAAGGACACAATGAGCCTTGAGCTGGTACCAGAAGCAACTCTATCAACTTTTTCTCAGGCAGGAAAAGAAGTCAGGCTATCAATAAGATAGAAAATGCATGTTTTCATCTAAAATAAAAGTCATTATCACCTGATTATTTCTATGTTTCCCCAATGGAACACTAAAGATTGTTTCTTCTACAACATGATATTTTCACAACAGGCCCATTTGAAGTAAACTGTCATTGTGGCCTCATATCTGCTGCCCCCGTGTGGTAGGTATATTACTGCAGCTGTGAATTTGAGCTCTGACTGATGGGATGTTTTCAGCCCGGAACATCTGATGGAAAACAAAAACACTAGACCTGAAAGAAGTTCATTCCTTTCAATTCAGATTATTTCTTATAGCGCCAATTCACATCAAGTGATCTTAGGGCACCTTACAGAGACAATTCAACCAGATCATGCAGTCAGATTGGTTCATTTTTTTCTCTAAGGTAAAACAGCTGATTGCTAATCGACTCTTCAGAACCTCACACCAAACATGCTCGTAGCAAAAGTGGAGAGGAAAAACTCAATTTCAACAGAAAGAAACCTCCAGCAGAACCAGAAGCAGGCAGTTCCTGCTGGTGCAGCCATCTGGTGAGGCTGACTGGGGGTCAAGGAGTCAGAAGCAGACATAACTGAACTTTATCGATTTCACATTGGAGAAATTTACCTCTTCATTTAACCCATTTCCTTGGGGAGCAATGGGCTGCCATCGTGTGGCGCCCAGGGAGCAATCAGGAGTTAAGGTTAAGTTATCGGCTGGGTATTTTGGCCAAAGTCCTGAATCGATTCGATTTTGATTCATACAGTTGTAAATCGATTATTTCAATTTATTCTACACAATTTTTCCACATGACTTTTACCATAATGAAAGTGGTTCACCTGTGTTTCAAAACACTCATGTATTTTATTTTTTCCTGTCATATTAAACATAAAGTGCAAACTTGTAAATCGGACAGTTTAAACATGAGATGTGAACAAAACTGTCTCGAAAGTGCAAACTTGTTTGTGAAAAGTGAAAAAGCTTCACTCGAGCGAGCAGACGTGACACAGCAGACATGCATGAGCTCCATTATCTCCACTTCACAAGGCATATTTGCAGCATTGTCTGTAACAACTACAGGGTGTTTGCTGTTCAGCCTCCATTTGTTAATGTCTTCAATCAACCTATTGGCTATATTTGTAGCTGTCTGGCTTGAAGTATTCTGAATGCATCTTTCCTGCTCATTTGAATGTGAACGTCACGCACGTCACTATAAAACTAAATGATCTCATTCCCTAAACATTGATTTTGCACAAATGTAAAGGAATCGATTCAAAATCGTTTAAATTGATTTTTTTACCCAGCCCTAATTATTTGTTTCACATTCGCTGTTATAACTACACAGACTGAGCAAATCTAAGTTGTGTTTTAAGTGTGCTGTACTGGTGCATTTGTAAATCAGTGTCTTTATGACTGTTTTAAGTCAATTCAGCACTGCTTTCCTCCATGACAGGGTTCCTAGTAAAGGAAGTCATTTAGAATGTTTTTAGAGCATAAACAGTAGTGTCTAG